CGTTTTAGAAATTGTTCGTACGTAGAGCATGCTCTTGCGTATCGAATCAACTGAGACATATACACCCCATATGCAGGTGATAAGGGTACATTGCTGCATAAGTAAGGGAAGTTGACGATTGAAAAGTTAATTAAAAGTCATTACGTTTATCATAAAGCTTATTAAAAGTCATTACGTTTATCATAAAGCTTGGTTGTCAGATTACTATTAACGTCTTTTTCTAGTAAAATATCCAAATATGAAACACATCTGGTTAACACCACTCCTCGAATACATTGTTGCAAAGTACATGTACTCTTGAAGTTTCTCATTCACTGCAGTTAATATTTTACTGAGGAGTAAAGAAAGAAGCTTGGTAGAGCATTTACTGGAGCCCGCTATGAATCTTTGTAGGGATTTTTAATAAAGTTTTGGAGTCCAATATAAATATGGTAATTCAAATTCATTTTGATTGGTGGAAATATTAAAAACATATATAATTATAAATTTCATGGTATTTTGTCAAAAAACAAGACCATTGAGATATTTGTCCCTGTCAATCAAAACGAAGCACAAGACCTGCATGCGCGTGTGTTCATGCTTATTCAACAATGTCGTCTCGTCTTGACTATACCTTTTTTCATAAAATGAGTTTCAATCAGCACTTCATTGTTTGTTGTTTATCGTCCCTCTCGGGAATTTTTCACTTATATGGAGACGCCACAACTTGCCGATGGAGGGCTGCAAATTTATACATATACTCGGCACTCAGGGCCATTGAGCAGTGAGGGATCTTTTTTGTGCCAGCACCTACTGCGACACGGGACCTCGGTTTATACGGCCTCATCCGAAGGACCGGTCTCCACGTCCCGCAGTGGATTTAAACGAGCGACGTAAGGATCAGCTCCTTACTCCGCGACTTTAGACCAGACGCTCTTACCACTATCAACACTTCATAAAAATATTACAGTAAAAGTTATTTCAATTATCTCAGTCATTTTACCAATTTTGCCCACAAAACGACATTCGTTACGCACATGTACAAAACATTTGGATTAACCCTAATATGTTTCATCTCAATCGGATGAGTAGTTTCCGAAAACACTCGCGGACAAAAAAGTACCGGCGAAGAAAAGGAAACAATGTAAAACAATATATTTATTTGATGTATATAAGATACATAGCGGGTTCCAGTCAATGTTCTACCGAGCTTCTTTCTTTTCTGCTTACTAAAATATTAACAGCAGTGAAGGAGAAACTTCAGGAGTATTGTACAACAATATATTCGAGAAGTGGTTTAATCAGATGTGGATACTTAAAAACTCCAAGGAATTTGAATTTGAAATCACAAAATTTTACAAAATCAATAACATCAAAATATAAGACCTTTTTAACACTTTATACAACCCCTGCCCATGATGAATCAAAGCCCAGGCTTTTTTGAATCATAGACAGCTGCTTTTTCAATAAAAATGGAACTCTTATAATTACTTGTCGTTGGTCATTTGCAAAATTATTTTGTGAAAAAAACATTCTGATTGAAAACACAAGTGCTCCGAAATTAATATAAAAAAGATGCTTGAGTTTCTGATTGACAATATTTATGTGGTGTTTAGACACCAGGTCTTCCAACAATCTGCTGGAATTCCCATGGGTACCAATTGCGCGCCTTTATAATCAGGTCTATTTGCTCTACTGGTCAGAGACCAGAAGAGCTTTTGCGATAGTAAGGTGTCCGTTCGTCCGTCTGTCTGTAAACAATTTTTCAAAAGGCTACTCCTCCTATAGTTTCAATATAACTTGTTATACAAGTAGACTACACTCAGATACATAATTCATTGCATCGGTTTTTGATTTCAATGAATAGTGTTGCCATGGTTACTAAAAACAGAAATTTCTATGAAATTTCTTTAAAACGCTACTCCTTCTATAGTTTCAGTCTGTTTTCAATTTGCCTGGGCACACTAGGAGACTACACTAAGAGACATAATTCTTTTCGTCGGTTTTTGATGTCCATGAAGTGTTGCCATGGTTACTGAAAATAGAAAATTTGTGAAATTCCTATAAAACGTACTCCTCCTACAGCTTTGGTCTGATTTCAAATTAACTTGGTATACAAGTAGACTACACTAAAATACATACTTTTGAGCATCGTTTTTTTTTTATTTTGATGAACGGTTTTGCCATGGTTACTAAAAAAAGAAATTTCTGTGAAATACTTTCAGAACGTTACTCCTTCCATAGTTATGATCTGATTTCAGTATAACTTGGTACACACGTAGACTACTGAAATACATAATTTATATTTATTACATTTTTAATAGTGAAATACTGTGATTTAATTCGATTTATTTATTGAATAAAAGTGATATTCTTTCACAATGTGAAAGTATACCAAAATGATATTCTGTCACAGTGTGAAAGGATATGAAAGTAATTAAAATGATTTCTGGCCTGCCATAAGATAGAAATAGTAACTAAACCATGTTGATAGAGACTAAAACTGTAAATTTCCTCCCAATTATATAATATTATTGCTAAAATCCATGTTACAATGTTTTTAATCACTCGGCACACCTCGGCAGGCAGCCATATCACAAATGTTTAGCGGAGACGCATATCAAGTTTCCTCGTACAGCCGAGGTTTGATGAAGGTGACGGAATCAGCTGAGGTTTGCCGAATGTGTTTTGAATTTCACAATTAAGCAATGACGTCTCAACCGCTAAACGATGACGTCTTAGCCTATAGCACTGATGCACAGAGGCAAAGAGAAATCAAAGAAAATGTAATAAACAGAAAATCCAATGTTTTCTAGTTGGATATGCAATTTATTTCACTCGTGAGACAAGATGTTATGATATTAGAGAGCTTTAGTTACTCGAATACTCCGAACGTGTACGTGTAGCATACACGTACATAACCGCAACTTTTTATGCATTTGCGTTAAGTTACGCGTTCGACCGGAAGTACTTGTAGCAGACGTAAACACTGTAAACATACACAAACATGTGTGAATTAAGGTAAGTAGAAACACAAGAAGAAATGAAAAAGACAAAGTTTAAAGAAATTCAAGTGTTTTTTAATTGTTAATAAAAATCCACACAGGTTTAAATTCAATTTTACAAACTTTTAGCAATGAAGACTTGCTGTTCATGCTTGATGAGGGGATCATAGATCAAGAAGAATTATTTATTTTATGGTCATCTTTTAATTGCCGATCTCCCCAGCTTGCTCCTGATGGTCCTAGGTTAAATTTTGATGCACTAACAGATGAACAAAGTTTTTCGATGTTCAGGTACAGGTGTAATAACTAGAGAAGGCCTAAACATCAAAATCATAGTAAAGGGTAGATAATTTTTTTATAAAACGTAATGTTTTTTTTTTGTTTTGTTTTGTTTTGTTTTGTTTTTTTTTTAGGGGGGGGGGGTGTTGCTTTTCTTGAAATCTGGATCGACAGCTGTAAATTCTTCGAAATGACGAACTAAAGATTAGAATAGAAAGGTATCAGCAGACATAACATTTATTTATAGGTTTGGCAAAAATGATGTATTGCGTTTACGGACTACTTTGGGTATTCCAGAGAAAATAATTTGCAAAAACAAATCGGTTTCCAGTAGCCTGGAAGCACTTTGTATACTTTTGCGCAGACTAGCGTACCCTAACAGATTGGCTGATCTTGTTCCCATATTTGGAAGAAGTGAGCCCGAGATGAGCTTGATCTTTAATTCCGTAATTTCTATTTTTTTTTTAATGCATATATTCCCTATAAATATTTTTTTCATGGCTAAAACGTAAACGGATATTCAATCAATCTAAAGTGTAAAGTGAACTTTAAAAAAACATTAAGGATAAAAATAGACGATTTTAACAATGGATTAAGTATAAATAAATAAAGTACTTATTTTATAGACATTGGATTTCATTTACAATGTTCATGGAGATAAACTGACGTCTCTAAACCAAAGATGGATACAAAGAGATTTGCAGACTTTGGTGAATTCAGTGGATAGGCTTTGTCCTCTACAAAATTGTTGGGGATTTATTGATGGGACACTACGTCCAGTATCACGACCATCTCAGTATCAAGAAACTATTTACTCAGGTACATATGCAAATACTTGCTTACTCATTTCAGGAATACCGAGGTATTTCAGAACAAAAACAGAACTCTAAAACTACAGTGAAAAGTCATTTATAATTTCCAAATGATGTAGTTCACGTGCCAGTCATACTAGACGTGTATGTATGAAAACATGCACTACTCATTTTAAATAAATTTAGTTTTTTAAACATATCAACATTTATCTTCTTAAAATACAGGGCACAAGCGGATACATGGGTTGAAATTTCAATCGGTAATGGCACCAAATGGTCTGATTGCCAATTTGTCAGGACCATACGAAGGAAAACGCCATGATGCAGGAATTTTTAGAGAGAGCAACCTTGCAAATGATCTCTTACGTAACATGAATTCCCCGAATGGCGAACCTTTTTGCCTATATGGCGATGCAGCATACCCCATCAACCAACATCTTCTCGGGCCCTTCAAAGGAATCAACCTTACAGCACAGGAATTGGAATTCAACAGACAAATGTCGTCCGTTCGACAATGTGTTGAATGGGGATTTAATAAAGTTTCTAAGTTATTTGCATTTTTAGACTTCAAAAAGAATCTAAAACTGTACCTGCAACCAGTAGGGAAGTATTACTTGGTTGGAGCTTTCTTGACAAATTGTCATACGTGCCTGTATGGAAGTGTCACGACTGACTATTTTGGAGTAGTTCCCCCATCATTAGAGGAGTACGTTAATAACTTGTAGATTCAAACTGATTAAAGAAAAAAATTGATGAAACTTTTAATTACCCCCCCCCCCCTTCCCAAATCATTGTTGTTCATATGTATTGATTTAACTTGAACACCAGATAAGAACCATTGATAGTCATAATTGTAATTATTTAATTCTAATATTTATGACATCAACATCATAACAACATCAATAAAAGATTTTTACAACAGAAATTACTTGTTTACTTTGTTAATGAGTTCTTTGAACAGATCAATCATTGCTTTCCTTTCTTCCTTCTCCAACGCAAACCTCTCTTGGTCTAAGACCTGTCTTTTCTCCTCAACTTCTACCCGTTTCTTTTCTAATTCTATCTTTTCTTTGCTTAACTGGTTCTCCGAATCAGTCTTCTTCTGCAGAAACTCAATCATACTGGTAGCACTATTAGAAGATCTTTTTCTTTTCAAAACAGGCAGTTCATCGTCTTCACGAGGATCTGTAGTCAAACTGGCAGTTGCTAGAATGAAATTCAAAGGGTAATTTAGAATTATTATTAGTATGACATGATTTATGAATCTATGTATGTCGGACTCCATAAATACCTAAAGAAATTTCCTAATTTGTTTTTACTTTCTTAGTGAATTACTGTAAGAACATTTTAATTAAATCAAAATCCATCAGACATACATACATGCAGTCATGTTTTCCATAGCTTTTTTCCGAATCAGCATTCCCTTCTCATTCTCCTTCTGTTTCTCTTTCTTTTGCTGATGTTGTGACTCTGACAGCTCTAGAACTTCCTGCAATAATTGCTCCTTTTTACTGTAATCTTCATCGCAACCGGATCTGTGTGTATTAAAGTCAATTTTAAAAATCTTTCAACTTTAATTCCTTAATATATATTAAAAGAAAGTTTATCAAAGCCGAATGCAACAATTCATACCGGTAGAGTTTTTCCCGGTCTTCTGATTTAAAGTAGGACAATAAAAGAGAGGTCCGTTCCCTGCATCTTCTCCCATCTATGGCGACACCGTCATATATCTCCATAAAACTCTCTGCTATTTCAGACCACTTATTAGCAGCATCACCTGCATAAGGATTTACAGCAGTCACACATATAAGGAGGTCAATGTCATGCTTCACAGAGAAGCGAAACATCTTCTTCCTTGGAGTTTCAGCTGCTGCCATGTGTCAAGGACCTGCATTGAAATCTGTTGCATTAAATATTTTGAAGACTTATTTTTATTATTTTATCATTTTTTTTTTTAATTTTCTAAGACTAAATAGGTACGCATAGTCTTAACTAATGAAAGCGAGTTATTATTATTATTATATCATAGAAATAAATTAATGTATTGTAGATTTTTTTTTAATTTCTGTTTAAAAACACAATGTTTAGGCCAACAATAAAAAAAATATTTGTCTGATGTAGTCCAACCGGGAAATGCAGATTGTTCGTTTTATTTTTTAAAGTTAAAGCTATATATGGCGTATCTGAGCTAAAAAAAATAAAAATACGAGATTGAGTGAACATGATAAATTGTTATTTACGTTTAAATTAAAATTTTCACCGATTTTGAGTTTGAATAACCCCATGTTTCTATTGTTAAATTGACTTTAAACTGTGTCTGATATTTAAATGCGGAGTCGGTGCTACACACGGTTAATTGCTTCTGCTTTGGATGTGTAAGCAAAAAATATATAAGATTGATTTAGATTGTAATGTTTTCTTTGACACTGGGAACTTAGGCTTTATAAATCTTTATAACTGTTTTTAAAAAACATCTAGGTATAAAGGGGACGACCAGTTGATTCTGATGGGAAAATGGGGGAAGGGGGTTTGTTGGGTGGCAAATTTTGTCAAGAAAGATTATTTATTAATTATGCCCAAGATGACCAGATACAGATTAACTCTTTCTTTGGAAAAGCTAACCCCCCCCCCCCAAAAAAAAAACACGCACAAAACAAAACAAACAAACAATGAAACTTCTTTTGTCAACACATCATATTTTGCATCAGTCAATGTGATACTGTTTATTTTGTTAAAGATGGAAGACATATTATTTATTTTTCAACATTACTTATTTCCAAAATTGAAATCTGCCCCCCCCCTCCCCCCCCCCCCCCACACACAAACAACTCCCAACACATAGATCTAATGACACATACAGTTTCGTATTAAATAGCAGCTACGAAAGTTATGAAAAAATCTTATTGCATACATTATTATATAAATTTTCATTGAACCAACCGACTTTCCTCAATTTCAGGTTTTTCTCTGCTTTCAAGTTTTGCATGATAGCGAGTGTCAGTGCACTACAGACAGAATTTGGTCCCTTTGTGAATGAAAATGCATATGATTCTTATGTAATATATGCTTATTTAATCATTTATATAAACATCATTTGTTAAAACTCTCAGAAAATTGCATAGACTTGAAATAAAACTACAAGTTATTTACTTACGTGTAAATCAAACGCCACACGTTCAATACGGGTAACTACACGTCACAAGAACGCGAAGGAACTTCAAAGTACACACATTCTGATGACGTCATACGTACAAGGTCGCTATAAACATGTAACTAAAGCTCTCTATTTTCTTTCGTGCTTTGCACTCGTAAAAATATATATTAAAAAATCCTGTCCAAATTACATTTCCAACAACAAAATATTGAATATCCTCTCTCTCCCTCCCTCTCTCTATATTTTACTTTGGTGAAAACGGTGTTGCCATGGTTACTAAATAAAGAAATTTGTGAAATTCTTTCAAAAGGCTATTTATCCAACAGTTGTAGTCTGATTCCAATTAATCTTGCCACAAAAAGACACTAAACCGAAGACCATTATTTTATTTATTTCTGTTTCAAGTGTAAGTGCTACTTTTCTCTTCCTTTGTTACAAATACAACCAGTAGTGCTACAGTCTCGTGAGAGACTTCAGGTTATATTTATATACAACAAAACTTATTCAAAAACTTTTACATGAGAAGAAGAAAACATTTGCTGTGGCCTTCAATTCGATTTTTAATTATATCGATGACGTATTATCAATTAACAATAGTAACTTCCATTCATATTTCTTTTGAAATATCCCAGTAACTTGAAACAAAAGATACCACAGTTTGACCATCTGTTTCATATTTGCTAGTCGTGGAGTTAGAAGTTGATCCTAAAGTCGCGAATCCCACTGCCGGACGTGGAGTCCTTCAGATGAGAACGTATAAACCGAGGTCCCGTGTCGCAGCAAGTGCTGGAACGAAAAAGATCCCTCACTGTTTAATGGCCCTGAGTGCCGAATATCGGTGTAAATTAGCAGCCCTCCATCGGCAAGTGGTAACGTCTCAGTATGAGAGAAAAATTCTCGAAAGGGACGTTAAAGAAACATATTTGGATATTTTATTACAAAACGTGTTCATGGTAAACTTACAATAAAACTTCATGATAAACGTGACGACTTCCCTTATTTATATAACAATATACCCTGATTACCTGCATATGGAAGTTTATGTCTCCTAGAAGAGCATGCTCTACGTACGAACAATACCTAAAACGAGGCAAGCTACTGACAAACAAGTTGACGTTTTTCATATTTATTGTTAGCCCATTCCGTTTGCCCGATCATGACAAGGGGCACACAGCGAGTGTGAAAAGGGATGCTTACTCCTCCATGGCACTTGATCCCACCTCTTATGCTTTTAGAGGTCCGTGTTTTCTCTGCTCCTGATTTGTATTGTTTCAATGGACCGTTGAGTTTGATTATTTTTCGTTAGCTCCATATTTCATGTTTCCAAACTTCGTTTGGGGGACATAACTAAAAGGGGCGGGTTAAAGTTAGAGAGACTTTCTTTAAAATTTCCTTGTTTGATCTTGAAATGGTGTTTGACAATTATTAATTTATTCAGTACGGCATTCAGGATTTCATAAGTAAACTTTTTGGGGGGTGGGGTGGGGTGTGTTAGCACTTCCTCCCTTTACATTAGCTGTTGATACATGCATTAATACATGTATGCAATGAACAATTGCTTCCACCTAACTTTTGTCTATAGATTCCAACCACTTTTAATCAAATCGTATACAGGCAACTTGAAAAAAAAAACATAAGGCATAACCATTCAAAGTTTAAGGAAATTTCAACACTTACTTCAGCCATAACAGTCAGGCATATGAGAGGTTAGTCGATATTTCCAGAGATCAAAAATATGTGTAATTTGCTGGTGTGTCAGTGCACTAGTTGAACTCGGGGGAATTTTCAAAGGAACAGTTTGAGCAATAATGGAAAGAGAGATGTACATGTATGTACCGTGGGACAGAGAATAATAATGTTGCATGTCCTGGATCACTGAAACTTATCAAATAACTCAATTTTTATGCCCCCGTATCGAAGATTCGGGAGTATATAGATTTGCCCAGTCCGTCCGTCTGTCTGTCTGTATATCTGTTTAACCGCAAAAACTTTAACATTGCCCATAACTTTTGATTAACTGGAACTATGGCTTTCATATTTGACATGTGTATTCCTTGTGACAAAACCTTTCTTTGGGTACCATCATATTTGACCTTGACCTTGGAGTTTGACCCAGTTTTACAAAATTTACCCAACTTTAACCTTGGCCATAACTTTTGAACGGTTAGTGTGAGGCCAAAATAAAAAATAGGTTTGTTTCCCCTAACGCGACCGACCCACTTAAATCGTGCCGACTGAAAAGTTTTTTTTATATAAGATTATTCAAATATTTATTTTTATTGTGTATCAACTTTATAAAATACAATTTCATCAAAATTCGTTTTTTATCAGAACGGCGGCTTTTGTTTTCCTCTCATTTGGCGCCCACAATGTGGCCACAGAGGGTTATTTAGTGTTATAAAACAACGGCGATGTGTCAATCCAAATATACATCTTTAACTTATTAGAATCCTACACTTGAAACATTTCGTGAATTAAATATACCATGACTAAGGAGTGTTAAGATGGTATTAACAAATGTGTCTTCTAAAATTAACGTACGTAGCAAGCATGACGAAGCCTGTCTCATGAGCAGATGACGGGCCCACTTTGTGTATGCATATCAATAAATTTCACTGCATTTCATTCGTTTCGATCTAAAAAAAAAACACCATGTATGATACAGTTACTATATAGGACCATAGGAGTTGTAAATATATCTTAGTATAATTATTTCATCTTGATAAATATAGTTCGGATGTCGTTTCTTCATTCCTTTTATTTATGGGGTAAACTTCGTGACTAAAACATTAGATAAATGAAACTTTAATCATTTTAGATATGGTTTGGTTGAATTAAATATTGTTTATACAGGTATACTCTTTTCAAATAGTGTTGAAATCTTTAAAGTTGGCTTATGGTACGGCTTCCTGAGACGTCCAGTGTATTTTTCTTTTCTTTAGTTGGGCCCTTGAAAATAGGTTGTTTCTTTACTTTAAAATACCTTTGAAAATTGCTGGGTCGACAACATTTGAACATCTGCCTGGTAGAGGGCTCCTAATTTAGATTTTTTCTCGGCACTTATGGCCATTGATCATAAAGCATCAGTAAGGGATCTTTTTCGTGCCAACATCTACATGTATACTGTGACACTACATGGCCCTACGTATTTTACGGTCTCGTACGACTGACCAGTTTCCACGCCCCACGTCGGGGACCTGTGACTTAATTAGAATAAGCTTCTGAATAACGTTGTGACTCCAAAACGAAACACTAGAATTACTGCGCCACGCAAGGCCCTTGACATTTTATCTGTGTAAGCACTCGAAGATGATAGTAGGTTTGAAAAAAATATACTCGGAGGGCCGATGGTTGAGTATTTGCAAATCTTGTCTTTTTGTAAAAAATCAATTTCAATAAAATTATGCTGGCCTGAGATATTTCACAAGTTCAAATGAATAATATATATGAATTAATTTACCATACATGTTGCTTTTTAATTTCATTTGTTTGATACTCGGTTTAAAAATTGGTTTCTTTTGTTCTTTCTTATGTATAGAGATATTATTCAATTTTCAGAATGTATTTTCAAAACTGCTGTCAGAAAAAAAAATAATTTACCTACCTACCTACTCAACTTGAAATTTTAGGGTCGGGTAAGGGTAAACAAAGATATTTTTAATGGTGGCCTGAGGGCTTTAATACTTCACATGTGTAATCTTTGTGACAAGTCCTTCTTTTGGA